CATACGGAAACTAGTTCGAAAAACAGTGGCTAATGGTACAGTCAACGATCCCCTTCATTGGCGATATGCACCAATTCACAGCATGAACTCTTGTCGCAAAAAGATTTGTTGGTATCCCTTCAACATAACAACCATTATTTCAACTTTCAGGATACGGTTTCTATGAGGGAGTTCATTGAAATCTTTCTCATAATTTCATTTTAGAGAATTGTAAAAATGTTCGCGGTTTCCGAAAAGAGAAATCAAGTGTGAAAGTGTTCCTATGGCATGAAAATTCCTCGAAAATTTATTGGACACCAAGTTCATTACTCATGACCTGCAAGAGGGGAAACTGGTACGCGCCTAATGCGTGACAGCGATGCGATGTGGAACAGAAAGAACTTCTTGACATGACTCTACTGAAAGGTTCCAGTACGCACCGTGTCAGACATCGTCTGAGTCCTACAGTTCACGCGTATCGATGAAGGAACAGGCAAGTGATTGCAGAGACAAGTGACACTGCTGCCACACGTACAGCCACGAAGCTCCCCATACTGTACGACCAAGGCTCGAATTCATTGTGAAATTGCCAGATTGTTTTGAAAAAAATAAAATTCTAAATTACACATTGACTCTTCCCTTTTGGGAGAAAAAAATCTTTCTGTCACCGTCTGCAAACGAACAGATAATGGAGGATCATTGTTCGAACATTTTTTAATAGAGGGTTTTGAATGTCAAAGATGAAAGTGCTTTTGCACTTCTGCCTATTACATGGAAACAACTATAAGTAGTCGGGGTAGTTGATGAAAATCGGAAGGGATGAGCAGATTTTGTTACGGGATTGCATAATACTGCAAAAGTAAATAGGCTGTAGTGTAATGAAAGAAGCCCCATTTTCTACAGCACTTATTCACCTTTGCCAAACAAATCGAAGTTTATTCAGGGTCTTTGATCACTTGTTCACCATTGCCAAACAGATCGAAATTTATTCAGGGTCTTCTATCATAGTCCTGATCCATAGTTGAAGTTTGGTAAAATGTGAAATCCCCAGTTCACCAACTGAGGTCCTTAAACTCCGTTTCCGCCCACAACCATAGGCCGGTGACGTTTATGATTGAACTACTCGTATCATATAAAGTGTTAGACTGTCGGAGAGATATGCGTTCAAACCTTAGAGTGTTGGCGTGGTCTGTTTGCTTTGAGCTTTTCTTTGAAGAATCGTAAAAGCATAGTGTACGACTGAGAATTTGGCCGTGGTCAGGGCCTTGTAAATAGAGATGGTCGAACTTGATTGCGCTGTGAAGAAAGGTGTTCGGTTCAGAGCAAATTGAGCTCTTCCGTATTGAATGAAATACAGTGCCCACATCCAAAATGTAAAGGGTGAGAAGTGGGGATCGTTCAAGGTTCAAGGGGAACTCCTCAATTTTAATAGCCGTGACAACCATCTGAAAGAGATGGAACAGAACATATTATTCTTTGCTTAGGACAGCTCGTTTTGTACATCAACGCTCGTTTTCTGAATTTATAATGATAGGGAAATTAAGGTAGTTAGTGGTATGCTAATTATTTTGGAAGGTTCTGTTCACCATGTCATAGTGGTGGACACCACCAGAGCCCGAGCTCAGCAACTCCTGCTCTATGTGGTCATAGAGCCCATGAATGGCCATATGTAGGCCTATTGTAATCTGTATGCAGTCTTATGGCCTGTTTTCCCATTGTATAAGCAAAAAGCCCCATCAAATGCTTTCTATCTGACCGAGTGCAAGGTACAAAGCTTCGCGAAATTGATCAATCACACAGCATTTTATTTTTGTCCCTGTTCTGAAGAAGACTTTTTAAAGAACATCTGGGAATTACTGACCCTTGAGCTCGTCTACAGCTTCGCAAAAAGTGATGACGAAAAAAGTCATAGCATTTGGGAAAGCGACAGCCCTCATGAACCATTCACTCTTCGAAACGAGTCTGTGATAAGGGAGCTTATTGACTTGGCAGAGAGAATCTTCTGCGCTTCCCGGATCTGTCGGCAACCTTGCACTAGAACGCTATTTCATGAACCCGCGAGATTCTTCAAAAATCATGGCCTTTCCAACAGCTGCAGTATACAGGTTGTAGTAAAATAAAAGAGTCAACCTGATCGTCTCCTTATTCTTCAAATGCCGTTGGATTGACCAGCTGCAATTAGAACTTCGCTATAGGAATTCACTAGCTTACCACACACATGTCCTTAATTTGTTCCATTTTCTTTTTTTCGAATCCAGCTGGGTTTGAATGTCCATTCGAAGGAGAAAATGATGGAGAGGGGGACTATGGACTTTATGGGATCTGCCATCTTCCCAACTGCTGTACCATTTTGAGTTATCGCTTTTCGCGAAGCTGTTGACAGGCTCAAAAATTAGTATAACTGCTTTGTGAGCAAATACTAGACTACTTTATGCCTTGCTGTATCAGGAGCAAAAATGCACAGAAGTTCATGAAGTAAAGAGATATGACAGAACACGCTAAAATGATGAGGAAACAAAACGCAGTAAGATGGCAGGAGCAAAGACAATGGTTGTATTGTGTTGAACACAGCCGTAAAGGGCAGAGGAATGACTGCACATGTTACCAGGGAGACCACAGACAGGCGTCAAGAAATTACTGAAGCTCCATGACATGTGAATATGATTACCAGGCATAATCATAATTACTATTATTAATATTTAATTATTATTTATTATTACTGTTATTATCACAGTACATCCCAGTGGGCTATTGCGGTGGTCAAAGTCTCTTATCCTTACTAAAACTCTTTTTTTTTTGTTTCAGAAGACAGCGAATGAAGGAAATGTTTAATTCCCATCAATTAGCTAATGTGGCCCGCTCGCCCAAAAATACTGTTTTTAAAATATGTAGTTGAGTATAAAAATGAATTGATTCAGAGCAGCGTTGGCGAGGCACTGCACACCTACGTGGAACAAATCATGAAAGTGTTATTATCAAAGATCAGATCTGCTTCATAGTCAACCACGCCCACATCGAAGCATAAAACGACGATAAAAAAGTGTTTGCTTATTGATCATTGTTCGACACCTTCGAGGATGGTTAGCTTTACTATTCTCCCTATTCCCTTTGGGAGCGCTACTTTCCTGTTTCTTACGGATTTCCTGTTTCCATTCCTTTTTCGACGGTACAAATCAGAAAGAGCTGCATGACTATCAAGGATGTCAAACACCAAGAATGACCTAGTGTGAGCACAAATCAGCCTCGTTCGAGGCTCTAACTTGCACTTTTACTTTCTGGCCACATGTACGGGATCGAGCCCGTTCGGAACCGAAGCTTTGTCCCCATCCTCTCGCCATCCTTATGAGATTCCTGCAACGCGTACTGTGGCAAATAACACAGTTTACGAAAACATTCGAGTAGAATCGATTACATATTCCTGATAGTCAGGAGCTCCAAGACGACATGACTCCTTCAATCACTACTGAAAATGTTATCACAAATGTGATAAATCGTTACTGGATCGATGTGATAGTTTTCTAATAGTTTCTGGATCGTACTGTAGCTGGAACTGTTATCATTCTATTATACATTGTTTAGTCCGAAGATGCTCTGCCATTCTGTACAATTAAAGGCACAGTTCACGTCATTTTTGAGCTACCCACTTTCAGTTGAAAAGAGGACGTGTTGATGGAGAGTTGTGCTTCGGGAGGCGAAGAAAGCGAGAGAGTCCGCCTACTTCGCGAAGAACAAGGCTTTCTAAAAATCGTGGAAATACAGGTTGTACGAGATTACCATGACGGAAATGTAAGGGGTATCCGGACGAGATTTCAGTTATTACCTTTGCTCAAGAGCTAACTACATCAAGTTAGAATAGCCTAAAACTGCCTTCTACTGTCGTCATAGGTGATGACTAGTTGTCTGAACTTCAAACATAGGAGTCCCCTGAAATAGTGCAGCATCCACAACACCACTGCGATTCGGTCGCTGTTAGTGTGGCATTCACACGTTACAACGTCTTCCCTTAATTGTGGCCTATCCAGGACGTTTCCCGACCTGACATTGGCACTTATGGTATCACAAGGGGCCTCGAATTCGTCCTATGGGGAAACTCAGACACCATTTTTTCGTTAACTGTGACTTAAAGTCTGAAGAATTTTAGTAGGTGAAACATCACCGACGCATGTCGATTTGCTATTTAACTAATTTCGTTTACCACAAAGTTCAACATATTGGGGTGGTATGAAAGCAAATCGTCGCAGTCATGCCCTTGTGCATGCAGGGATTGCAGCGCATTATGGATCAAATTACCTCCTTTCTTCAGGGATTCTCATGCTTATACTAATATTATTTTTGAGGCTTTTCGATCTAATTCAAAATATGATCATCGATACCTCAGTTGTTCAAAATTTGCTTGCTGATTCAATTACTTATATTTGAGGTACCAATAAACATATCTGGCTGGTTACTATATTCAATAAAAGTGGGAAGCTTTTATCAAAATTATGGCTACTTCTTAGTAATGTGGTGCGTCACTGTTGGTCTGTATAAGCTTGAATATGACAGATAGAATAGAATAATTTTTAATACTTTATAGATCAGATGTTTTTTTTACAATATTAAGAGAACTCTTCTGTCAACACGATATCTATTCTTGATAAGATTGCGTAAGGCGGCTAGAAAGCCATTAAGCAAAGACAAACAAGTGGCATTGCCTGTGTAGATACATACCGGTATATTTTCACGTTGGCTTCAAGAAATAGTAAGAAAAACAATGACCAATTATTATAGTGAATGTAGAGTATGCACAAAGATCGTGGACGACGAGATAAGCAGGCCATGTACTAGAAAAAGGGAAGACGGGTTTATACATTAGAAAGCCCTGGAAGTAAGTNAGTCATGGTTCATATCAGATTCCATCACTGTAGTATCGGTTCTGCTCACATGACATTGCTGTTCGGATTAAAAATTGAATTTCTACCGAAGGAGCAATATAAAGGTCTCAACAGCGGTCATGATGGATACCGCGTGATACAGAGATGTCACCGTACATCTAAGCATTGATTGTTGATGTAGTATTGGACGATATTATCCACTTTTAAACTCTCCTTATGGTAGATGTCTTCACAAAGTTTGCATAACGCGTTGCTTGTGTAATTCGATGGAAATCGATAGTGTTTAGTCCATTCAAAGTACCTAGATTAAAACAAAGTTATCACTTAGGAAAAGATGATCCACTTTTGAGACCCACTTCAAATACGCGGTATCATTCTTTCGCAAGAAGTTCAAGTAATCCCCCAAATGTTTGGTGTTTTTGAAATCGTCAAGAGCAATAAACGATCCTGGAGGAACGTCGGTGCCTAAAATGTTACCTGATAATGATAGATCCGAAGAATGATTTCATACCAGCAACCTTACAAAATATTGATCACTTCAAATAACTGGGCACTCAATCACACTAGAAGGTAGCTCAGTTGGACATGTATCCCTCCCCCAATTCACAAAATGTACTGGTACAATTGCAAACTGTACCCTTGGTTCAGAGGGTTGGCTTCACATCGGTTTAGAGTGATTCTAATTTGGTCAAGCTGAGAAGGGTGTCGGAGAAAAGAATGTCTTGCTCAAAATATAGATGACGGTGAGATCATTTGTCAATATTAGGTTCCAGAACAGGGCCAATGATGCTACAGAACAGCGTATCGCCGCGTGCGAATCGGCCAGAGTAGACGCGTGCCCTGCCTAAAACATCAGTCAATATTCATGATTACAATATTGCTGTGCCGTGCGAGGTTGTTAGGTGGAACATTTATTGATCCACGGCCTCGGCTTCAAACCTACCCTCTTTTTGAAAGACCTAAAGCACCTCGAGACTATTTGTACAGTATCCGAAAAGCGCATTACCCCCTGGCGAATGTGAAGGCGAATTCAAAACCCTAATTTGAAAAATAACTCACCAAGGTTCCACCGCTCATGCGGAGTAAAATCCGCTGTCGCCACAAGCGGCTGTCAGTAGTGAATGAGACTTATTGACTGTCTCCCTTATACTTGGGTTAAAAAGATTCCCTTATAATGCTACACTGAGTCACAAGTCGCAGTGAGGTATATATGGCAAAAGATCGCTGTTTACGGACGGGCATTCACCTCTACTGTTCATTTTAGGATTTCCTTGGAAAATCTAGAGCGCCTCTTATGCCTTCCTCGCTGAAAACCCCGTCTCCTGCGCTAATTTCTCCATTTTAGCGCAGGAAACGGAGTTTTTAGCGAGGAAGGCAATAGAGGCGTTCTGGATTTTCCAAATGAATCCCTGGAATCCCAAAGTTCTGAATCGTTCAATACTGACAGTCGCTTATGGCGACAGCGTATTTTATACCCGCTTGAACTGTGGAATCTTGGTGAGTTATGCCTCAAATTATGGGTTTTGAATTCGCCGTAACCTTCGCCAGGGGGTGACGCGCTTTTTGGATACTGTGCAATTATTCTCGAGTTGCTTTAAGCCTCTGGAGAGGACGGTAAGGTTGCTTACATAGTCCGCCGGCCGGCCGGCGTGCCAGTCGAGGTGGTGCTAGGAGGAGGACGAAGGCAGACGGGACCTTTTGACGCAGTCGCGTCGGCCCAAGCCCCTTCGAAGGGCGAAGGCAAATTGTTTTGATCTTACTTTTCTTTGTTTTCAGCCCTTCGAAAGGGCTTCGGCGCGACGCGATCGCGTCGAAAGGTCTCGCCTGCCCCCCTCCCCCTCCTAGCACTTCCTCGGCTGGCAACTATGAAAGCAGCCTAACGTTGAAACGTTAGGCCGTTGGTTGATAAATGTTCCACCTAACAACCTCGCTCGGCACAAGAATATTGTAATCAGAAACAACTATGCCGAGGTTTAAGCAAGAGAGAAAACGGAGATTATCACTCTGTGTGTCTTCGTGTCGTCGACGAACGCCACTGCCACGGCTCCTTCGTCCTGCAGTCGAACTTGCTCGAGGACGAAGATGTGATGCAATACGACCAATTGCTTGGTGAATGAAAGCCTGAAGGCGCCAAGCCATCATACAAGACAGCTTCTGGCAAGGGAAGGGAAGTAGACTGCGACACCTGCTATTCAACGATCCCCGCCACAAACTGTCTTCTATTGCTAAACGCTCTCCCTCTCCTTCGTTCTGGAATGTTTCTTAAGGCTTTCAACTAGATTCTGATTAACCTTAAGCAACCGAAGGAGGATTCCGTGCCTATAGCACTGCAGTAGCGAACAGTGTTGCTATGCTTTCGAGGCTGCTTTATGACTATAATCTAACGAACATAATGTGCTGATAGTAACGTCTCCAATAAAACAAAGGCTGCATCAACTGGTTTTCCCAAGTTCGTAATTCGTAGATGACGTCGAAGTGAATGCACTTTTTAAAAGTTTTGTGAAAAGACGCGTAAACCATTTCACCTTCAACTCGAGTTGGTTAGATTACATCGCAATTTCGTAGTTCAAGTCGCAAGAGCAAAGCAGCGATACTCGACACAAACTACCTTTTGATTCTATCACACCTGACCTATATGATTGACCATTACTTGAACAAATTCCTAGAACAGTAAGGTGAAGAGCGTCAGCCGATCTTGGTGGCCTCAGTGTCCTTGTGAGCGAGTTTGCCCACAATCATTTTTTCACTCCGGAAAAACGAGGTTCCTATAAGGCACGAATGAGCCTTCAGAGTGATTCTGGTACATTAATACATAATTGCAGAGGCAGATCATGCGCACTAGTGACTCACGTACTCAAGTACAGCAAAACAACCACACCTTCGTAAAACCGCCTTTTCATGACGATAGGAACGAGTAGTTCCGAAATTCTTCGATAAAATTTTTCCGTGATATAGTCATTGCAGAGGCTGTTCTCGAATGAAATATAGAATCGATGTGTTGCTGAAAGAATTTGTCATTGCAAAACCATCAAATAAAAGCGGAGTCTCACTCTTCCACCCCGCAGAGAATATCTGCGGAATTCGCGCTACCTACAGGAAAAATACCAGACTAAGGAGATAGGAAAAAATGTGGAAAAAGCTGTAAATGGACAGCAGCGGCAGCACAAATCCTCTGCAATTGTGTTCACATATTCACAATAATGAGCTATTGAACACTTGCCTCACAACTGGTAATCTCCACCGATACGCTCTCTGCCCAGGAGTATACCTCTGTGGAGGTTTATTCACTGGCTAATGGTTAACAGTATCCGTACCCACAGACAGTAAACCATATCCAAACTGACCAATGAGAGCATCGTCATCGCAATCTCTTTTGCATGAGAAACTTTTCGTGCCATTACCGAAGCTCAGAAGTTCCTCGCAACCTCCTCTTACCGTCACTTCTGTGTACTGACCTAGTTCCCTGAAGTATGCATTATCAGATAAGAAGAAATCAAATAATCATCACGCAAGATCTTGCGTTTTTGCAGGCAAAGAGCTGATTATCACTCACTTTATGACACGTTCTCGCTTTGAAGGTGTTTGACAGTTTGAAACAAAAATGAGTGCTCCCCTTGTCTTCCTTTTCAGCATGCCACGGACCTGAAAGCTTTGGAGTCAGCCCCCGGATAGTTCTATTCACTGAGAACTTGGAAGCGTTGCTGAGGATAATCACAGCCACGAAATTAGGCGTTAGGAGGATGCCAATTTGATGAATCTCCTCGTCTCACCTTTTTCTCGTAAACGGTCTCAGAGTTTCTTCCCATATCTTTAGAAGACAAGTTGACGAATTGTCCATAGGGAAAGAAATAACGTGAATCTTGTCGGTAGGTCATAGTTGCGTTGAAATAGTTCGGTGGTACCTGTGAAGCTAAAGTCATTCTCTCAGTCAGCTGAGCTACAATGTGCGAACGACAACGAGACAATGCATTATCATCACCACAATATCCACCACGGAACTTGCGCTGCACGACGACGTGCGAAGCTATGGCGGAGAAAAAGTCACTTTTGAACATCATTGCAGTCGTGAACATGATCATTGCCCTGGACGGGGTGTGGTGCGTTAGGAACGAAATGGTCGCGTCGCGGTGAGAGGGGCGTCGCGCGCGAACGAATGTAGCAGGTTGCAGCAGTAGGTAAGAAATACAAGAACAAAAGTACTAATAGTAGAATTATGCATGAAATAATGATCGCATATCGACTGAGCTGTGTGAAAAACGCTAGAGCTGTAATAACGGCGCAAGAGTGGTCCGCGACAGCCGCGTGCGGCAAATCGATTACCCAAAATCGTTCCTAACGCCCGTCTCCCCCCTGGACGTCTGTGGACGTCGACTTCGAAAGCCTGATGCGACTGCCAAAGAAAATCCCTGGGTTTGCTCTGATCAAAGTGCAATAGATGCAGTGCTCCCATGACCGCGTTCACATGACTACAAAAATGGAATCTTCGAGAACTGGCTTAAAAATTCAAGGAAGACATGTAACAAGTGCTCGGTAAGGCTACTGTTCCGAAGTTCGACTAATGCCATTACTAGAGGTAGGAAATGGGGGCTTTAAGAGAGCGATATATGGGAGAGAAAATGGGTGAAAACGATTCAGGGCCCAAACATGAGTTCGATGGGGTTTCGAAAGAGCCTATAAAATATCCGGCTTATTCAGACGTAATCATGTATTACCTGATAAATAGGGGATCCCGTGTGATAAGGTGATTCCATGAGCATAAGCACCTTAAGTTGACGTGGAGTTGCTGGTGGTAAGTCAGACATGTTTATGTCGCGCCCATGAAGCACATAAGCGGAAGCGTCTTGTTGGCTGATAATTAGTCACAGCAGTTGTACAAATCACATCCATCAATACATAAACATAAATAAATACATAAATACAAATCAAAATCATCCTAAATGTTCCAAAGCCACTGTCAGATGATGCTGAACTCACAACAACTTTTGTTCATGTCTCTCGATGAAATGACACTTGTAGAAACAGTCCTTGAGTGTTGGTAGCAACTGTGTTTTCAAGTCACCGCTGAAGAATCGTGTCCAAGCTACGATAAGTGGGATGCTCTGTAACATGATGCAGTTACCCAAGATCATCAACATTTTCGCCTTCTTTTCATCTTCTTCCACTGAACCTTTATTCTTACTAGGGTTAAGTAAAAAAAATTTTTGGAAACACGCTGAGCATTTATAATCATTACGTTTATAATCAATCTATTCCGAACTATGTCTATGTGCCTAGGTTTCTAGTGAAATTTCTGTGAGAAACTGAAGCATTCTGTTTGTGCTCTGTTGAGTCTGTTGAGTCCTCGGTTTCACAGACGTATTACGTTGTCGGAAAAATATCTCGTCAATAAGGAAGTGAAGCTAAAACCAATATCCCATGTTTCGGGCATCTGCATCTCGTTTGTAACCAACTTTCCACAAATGTGTGTACCATACTTATCGATTATATGTTATTTGAGTTGTGAAAAGCAGTTCAAAACGAAATTTCGGGCAAGAAGCTCTTTCAGCAGCATGATACTTCTTCTGCACGTCAAAATCAGAAAAATTGAAAGAACTATTCATGCCAAACTTTGTTCTTACGTATGCCTTTCACCAATTTGTGCATCAATGATAACATAAGATGCCATATTACTTGGTTCCACCACTTTTTTTTNTTTTTTTTCCAATTTCATGAAAGCTACAATACCGAGGAAAGTGGAAATCCGTGCGGAACAAAACACAGACATCATTGAGAAAAGTTCTAAATCTTAATGATTTCTTTAGGACGACCCTCATCTTCAAACAAACTCACTTCTAAGTTTATCGCAGTGTGAGTTATTCATGTGCATATCTGTTCGTGCAATGTGCGTTAATATGGTAAACGCACTAAATCCAGAATTACTTTGAACCTTATTTTTAGCTCATGCGTAGTAAGTTTACTTCCACTCTATTTATGGGTACTGATAAAAAGCGGAAGTGAACGAACCTGTTGCTTCCTTTCGTATAAGCTTTGTGAGTCTTGATAAATGAAGAAAAACGTAGATACCACTGTGAAGATGGTCACTGCCGTAGCGGCTGCTTTCAAAGGATTCCATTGGTTTCCTTAATGATGCTTTATTCAAGTTTCTTTCTGAAAGCCACCTTTACTTTCCATGTTAGCTGTAATGCGGGCTTGAATAATTAAGCCAACTATTCCTTCAAACAGGTTTGTAGTACTGAATTACTGTACACGGTCTGCGCTGGTAGTACTCTTCTACCGTGCGAGGTTTCCTGGCATAATTGTCGATTAATTTAAGTCCCGCTTGAAAAAACAAAAGCCAAGTCAAAACAGTTAAACCTAAACAAGTAAAGTATTTTTGCGGCATAGGGGCTCGAGCCTAGCCCGGACTTTTTTTTCGGCCGTAAATCGCCAATCTTCTTTTAGGACTTTCTCATCACGCACTTCGGCGCAATAACAACAACTAACAAAAATCCCAACTGCGTACGGTTTTTCATTCCTCTTCTTTTCAGCATTATTCCTCGTTAAGTTCCACTGTTCTTGTTGTCTACACTTCCTTCCACTAGGTGCATCTTCTGCTGTCACATCAGCTTCAGCGAGATCCTTCTTGATCACTTCACGCCACCCTTCTTTGAGACACTTTGGGGTCGCTTCCTCTGAGCCTCGAATCCCAGTGCTTCACTTGTCGGATGATTCTCTGACCTTCTCAGTGCTTGTCCGAAACATCGGAAAGGCCGCTCTCCATTTCCAGCTGCACAGGGGCTGTTAGCAACATCGCCTTGGTGCCTCCTTCCTACTCGGCCCGGTCGAGTTCATTTGCAGGCTGATTGAGCATCCTCGTTTCAGCGAAGTCGAGTTGCTTCTCATGATATTCGCTCATGCCAGCAGTCGCCGCAGTGGAACATCATGGACCTTACCACTGCCAGGAACAACTTTCCTCTGAGCGCCCAGGAACACATCGGTGACAAAGGATCCGACTGAGCTTCCTCTACTTCACCATTTCGGTAGCCCTGAACCTTTTGGCTTCCCTAAAACCTTCTATAGTTGAATGCATGCCCTTTTCAAAGCTAGGATCTTGGCCTTCTTAGGCCTTTGGCTTGTTTCTCCGCCGACACTTGCTACCTCTGCAGTTTGTGCGAAACTTCTTCTTTTTTCATCGCTATCAGAATGATGGCATGCAGACCGATACAATATCGCCCAATCTTTTCAGTGCCGCTCTCTAGAACATAATGCGTCAGTTGGAAAGGAAAGGCCTGTAGGAGAAGATCGACGGCTGCTACCTACATCATCGCTGTCTTGCAGAGCATATCAAGCTTATAACACCGATCATCGAGTAGACGAAAGGACGAATGCAGACTGCATTCGACAGCGCTTGTGAAAAGATTGGCTTAAGACCGAACTCGGCGAAGACGATGTTCATGAAGAACGGATAGGTACCTGATGTTCCCTTCCACGCTAAACGGAATGAATTTATCCGAATGCTCTAGCTACGTGTACCTAGGTGAAGAGGTCGTTACGATGAACGATCTAGCTGATGAGAAAGAAACGCGCGGCTGAGATTCTAGGGCCATCGATGAAGTAGTAAAGAAGAGAAGAACGTTCGATACACTGCCCTTCCTGCTCCGAAGTACGTCTCAGAAGCTCGAAGTTTTATGCATTTTTTAGGCCCTCAAGAGTCGATACAGTTGTATTGGACCCATCGTACATGTCCCTGACAAGAGAAATCTGATGTCACTTTTTGTCATCCTGCTCTACCATCCCGTCTTATCAAATAAAACAAACTACAGCGTCAAAGTCACGTCAAATGTTTCCTGACGTTTTTGGCTCATTGTTAGTCTCTATCAGTCGCTATTTTGCAGCCAAGCCATCCCAAACTTGACCCGACTTTTGCAGGTGCTCTACCAGGTATTATCGAAGTTCCTTACAAACAGACAAACAGGTAGACAGACAGACAGACAGACAGACAGACAGACAGACAGACAGACAGACAGACAGACAGACAGACAGACAGACNCAAGTAAAGTACTTTTGCGGCATAGGGGCTCGAGCCTAGCCCGGACTTTTNAGACAGACAGACAGACAGACAGACAGACAGACAGACAGACAGACAGACAGACAGACAGACAGACAGACAGACAGACAGACAGACAGACAGACAGACAGATAGGCAGACAGATAGACACAGACAGACAGACAGACAGACAGACAATGCGAGCGTTTTATATATGGTAAGGATGCTAGTAGGATACTCGTTTAATAGTACGGCTAGGCAATTTATAAAAGAGGAAACATGCCTACACATAGAGTCGACATAAACGATGCAGCACAACACAATACCCACCCTATTTGTTCACAAAATCACGAAAAAATGCGCTTTCGTACTTCTGGAGTAAAAACGAAGTCTAACTCACCTTTTGACCGCGCCATCGTTTTGTAAGGACTCGTCATTCTGAAATAGACACCGACTCTAACTACCTGGGCAAACAACTATTCGAACGAAGGTTTCTAACGTTGACCGAAAATTTCATGCGAACAAGAGTGTTTAGCTGTGAATGCTCACCGGGTAGCGTTGACCTCATTATAGCAGATAAGACAACTATTCGGGTGACATATTTGTTATCAGAAGACATTTCTGTAGTCATTTGATTATTAGATTTCCTTTGGCTATTTCTTATTCGAACAGAAATCGAGGACGCAAACTTTTCCAAACTATCATCAGCCTAGGATCAAAGGCTCTACCAACACTTTGAGCGCACACCTTTGCAATCCTATGTTGGCATTTAGATTCAAGTGTGACCTTTCCGATCCCATTCAAAACACATCTTGCGCGGTTTTCAACGGATCGCCCCGAGCATGACAGAAAAATGTTGAGTACTGGGTACCATGGGTCAACTATCCACTTTTCAAGGGTTGGGTGTAATTGGCAGCTTACCTCGACCAGTGCAAAACCCCTCTAGCAGTAGCGAAATTCGGTTTCGGTTTGAAGTTACTGAACGCAGTCGCAATGGGCGCAGTTTGCTGAGGCAGTTGAGACATTCTCGGATCGTTCTTACCTCGCTTCTGTACTGCACTCACCCACTACCTCGATGACTGCCTCAATGCTTAGTGGACATAACCGTCATCACAGTATCGTTACTAGTCAACAAAGTCTGACTGAACAAAGAAGTTGCACCAAAATAATCAAAGGGACAGTGCTAACGGCTTTCTTACTCTTTGCAAGTATCACGAATATTCCTAGGATTTCTTATTCACAATCGCACTTGTTAAGGGTAAAAACCGTCCACCACACTCAATAATGTAAATCTCCGATAAAAAATGGTGGTCTCAGACCCAAGCCCACACCTCAAGAAAAGCGACGCTGTATTGTGGGTGGGGCTTAGTTAGATGCTTCATTGTGGGCACCTGGTTACACTTGATGATGGTGTTACAATGTTGATTAGTTCAGGGTTACTACATATATCCGTAGTGAGGTTGATCCCACATCAAGCTCGACCATATCCCTTTTCAACTTCCAAATCTGGTTTGGGAAAAGCTCTATAATGACTTTGATCTCAAAAGAAGCACAATGTCAAATGTTCGACAAGTCTTACTTAAAGGGTGTTGGAAGTTTTTGAGAAAATTGCTGCAAACCACTGAAGACATAGGAAATGTCGAGATATTGTATGCAGCCTTATTCAACAGAGTTTGAAAGGCGAACTGTCTGACACCTCACAGTTGAACAGTAATAGAGATAAAAGTGAATTCAGAATAAGCTCTCATCTATCGACCAAAGCATGGCAGCAAACAGGTTCGGCCGAAAATAAAGAACTTCTGAGCTTACAAACAGCAGATTTCAGTAAAAACACTTCACACCGTAAACGACAAAAATAGTTCCCAAAGTTCATCCTTAGAATGAACCAGCGACCCCAAGGATAGCACAGGGTGAGCGTTGAGGTCGAAAAATGATAGGACGAAATAAGGGCTCCAGAACCGGGTTAGCCGGGTACTCATCAAGGAGAGTTCACACGGCCCTGTAGAGGCTGTGAGGGCAGCCCTATTTGCACCGGAACACACACCTGGTCAAAGCTCTAGTTTTCCTACATTTTAAAAGCCTTATAATTCTCTGAATCAGCCCATTTTCTCGTTTCTTTCGCGACTTTTGCACTATTCTTGGCAACCATTTCTATTACTTGCCTAAAACTAGTTGCCCCAAAATTATGATGATCTGGGCCCCTAGGAGAAGAACCTGAACTACAGGAACGTTACAACTCAGCAAACAAAGTAAACAGTTTTTTGGCCCGAAGCGAAGTTTCACACAGAGGGCAAATGACAAAACCTAATTATGAGCTTCCTCAAGAAACATTGCATGAACAAGGGGTACAGCTCTGCATCGGACCAATAAAGCTCTCACGCTTTTTAATCAATTTTTCATTTCTTCTGTTGTTGGTTAATACTCCC